TCAAGAAGAACAAGAAAGAAGAAATAATAATAACAATAATAATAATGTGTAAGAATTTTGTTTTTAAATAAAAAATTGTGTAATTTTGGGTGTAACAGTTGCTACTGATAAGAAAAATGATACACTGGAGCTAGGGTTCTGGCTGTTTATTTTGCTGTCATATTTTTTTGTTTTATTAAGAAATCTTGTACCAGTTTCTTTTAATCGGTCTTTTTTACTTTTGAATTTAATTAGAGGTTTGCCTTTTTGACCTTGATGTTTTGTTCTGTTCAATCTAGTTTCATGAATTCATTATAAGAAATATAGTAATCGCTGAGTATACTTTGTGGGCCGGCTGTGATGAAAGAGGAGAGCTTAGTGGGCCCTCTTCATTGCACTGTATTTCTTGCTTATGTTTTAGTTTTCAGATTCCTTTCTCCACTTCAAGGGTTCAATAATACTTGTGTTTGGGCAAGTTGAGGACTGGGCTATCATGATATCTATGTCCACATCATATAGCCTGGGTGCTGTATTTCATATAGTAGCTAAAGGATATCTCAAGATTTCAATGTTTCTTATTAAAAATGTAAAAGTAATAATGATAATAATAATAAAGTTTTAATAAAATTAAAAATGTTTGTAAATAAATAAAAATGAGTATATTATTTATGTAAAATGAATTGAAAGAATAGTATTAATCACTTTGATAATTTCATAAAATGCTATAGCCTCAAACATCATCCTGCTACAATTTTGCGCTTCATAACTGACCAGCCTTTAACCAGCATATGCTATGGATTCCTAAGAATCAAGATCATCTACAGCTATGTAATGGCTTTATGAAATTACCCAAGCAAATAATAATATTTTTTCAAATCTAAAGTAGAAAAGTAAAATGATATATGTGTTACTAAATACTAATAGAATATAAGGAATAATCAAAGGAATTATGAAGGAATTATAAAAAGGTAAGGTAATTAAAAGGGTAAGGTAATTATTAACTTTGCTTTTTGTCTTTTGTTTTTTTTATAAAGGGACGGGGATTAACATGATTCAATTATGAAGTGGTCAGTTTCTCAGGGGGCATGTATGCTACGAGATAGGTAAATGCTAATGGGAGTTTTATGGCATCGAAGTGTATGCTAACCATGTCTCTTCTTTTTGTAGAGGTACCATCAGCTCAAGATGCCATTATGTGATCTTTGACAGTGTCGATCCAATCGCGAGGATCAGCGAGGATCACAGATTCGTGGTAGGTGGGGGTATTAATTGGATTAAGATACTGTTACTGGTGGCGGTGGGATAGGGTATGTGATGGTAAAATAATGGATGGTGTCAAGTGCGTTTGACATTATAGGATTAGTCAATTGTATCCCACCAGAAAAATGGTATTACTGAACATGACATGGGTGTCTCATTAAGATAGTAAGACCCGGGTGTGGTTATGGTCATTGGTTAAGAATAATATGAATACAGAGAAGTAAATTGCGAATCATCCTCGTCCATTTGTGATCGCTTCTTGAAATATCTTCCAATTTTATTACATCTTCACGCAGATCTTGAGGACCCTGGAATTTCGTAGTCGGATATCTCATTGTCGTTGTCATTGAGACTTTTCAGGTTCCCCAACGGAGATTTTTATGATGATGAGACGATTAACCAATAGAGGAAGATATCGAATGTTGTGGAAGTGGTGATGATGATAGTAATGGTGATGGTAATGGTTGCGATGTAGAATGATCTTGATGAATCGGGGAGGAATGGTTGTATTGATGAAGATTGCACTGACCTTTACCCAACCTGTATGGATTCTCCTGGGTAATCGTTAACTTGCGAATTGTAATCCTTAGTGTTAACAAATTTGTTATTAGTGCTTGTGACTGCGATTGATTTAGTGGTGGGGGTGCGATCATGATCGTGATCGAGATTATAATTACAGCCATGACAGCTTCCCGTATTATCATCAGGGTTATCATTTCATGAGGTAAGCGTTCCGTTTGCATAACCATTCTGTTTTTGGGTGGTTAGTTCTTTCTCTAACCATTCTTGTCTTCTCTTTTTTTTTTTTCTTTCCGCGTCGATGCCTTCTTCATGATCTTGTCCCAGTATTTCCAATTGTCAGGATGGTCTTGGAGTTATCCGTCTGTCCATCGTCATCATGGTGTGGTCCACAGTGTCCATAGTGTGTCTTGGTCTTGGAGGTATGTTGTCATGGTTGTTCTGATCCGGCATTGTCTCACTTTCACTCATTTTGTTTTGTGAATATATATATGCATGCATATATCTTCTAGCATACATTATCAGTTGTCGACTTCGTAAGGTAAATAAACTTTTTTTTTTTTTTTGTTTTTCATTTTTTTTTTATGTGGACGACTAATACTAACTTAGCGTCATCCTCTCTCTACCGTTCTAGGTTGTGGCAATGTCATGGATCCGGAAACTTCGTCATTCACAGCGTATAGGTCTTCTTCGTGATTAGGAGATGATGCGCAATTATGATCACGATTATGACAGCAGATCTTTGGGGCTGTCATCTTTCGTCGGTCTTGATAAGTTGTGGCATTTTCTTCTTTTGCAGTGTTTTACCAATGGCTTCTAACTTTTTCTTACCAGTCTTTCCCTAACCCCATGCTCTTGACATCTGATTTGCCATTCGCGGGTTCTTCTTGACCCTTGACGATATTACGTCCCTGGCTTGGCTACTGGAATTTCGTCGGTAAGTTTTAGTTCTTTGCCTTTGATTTCTTTGCCATTTTCTTTACAGACAGTTCTCCTTTCTTTAGGTGCTCGTCTGTAGCTTCTTTTCGGCATCACAACTTCTTCTTTGGTGGTGGGATTAGTTTTTCCACGAATACTCTGCGGCCTGGCATTACCATTGGGGCAAATATTCGTCGAAGATAAGCTGGCCATATATGATGTTCCCTCTGTTTTTGAGTTGTTATGATGCTATATCGCGTCTCTCTTTTGGCAAGGCATTGATTCGTTATATCTTTTGAATTCTTCTTGATTATGGGATAGATGGGTCAGCAAATTCCCATTGTTACGGCATCATTAATTCTTTATTTCTTTTTTGGATAAGGGCAGGGAATTCCATTATTACGGCATCATTCATTTATTATTTTTTTTTTTATAATTTAATTTTTTAGGGAAAGGCGCATATACCATCGATCCCATGATCGTCATTCTTTAGGCTTTGCTTTTCTTCTATGCAAGTCATTTCGGAGCTTTTATTGTTGGATTTGAATTTCTTTTAGGTTGGGATGATGCTTCTTCATCTATTTGGCATATACCAGCTACCAAATTCTTCTTGGACATCATTGTTAGAGCGAAATTGGTCATTGTATCTTGGATCGTCACAGACACAACATCACTTTCGTCACTCCTGTGAAGATTGAACTTCCTCGGGAGCAATTTCTCAGGGGTGGCAATCAAAGAGTGTTCCATTTTTGGATCTTGATTGTCAAACTTGCATCTAACGGATGAGGTGCATCTCACAGTCACCACCAATTTGTCATATATCTTCCTACCTCAGGAGAAAGATATGAACAGAGAACTAGTAGCAGGAAGACACTTTGTATGGATGGATCAATGTGATATGCTAAAGTTCATAAGGGTGTACTAAAATTAGTACAGTTCTGAGGTGTATGAGGTCAAGCGAAAGAGGCAATGGTGATTTGTTTTGTAAAGGTCAAGTTATTTATTAATAAAGAGGAAAGTTCAACCTTGTAATTCCAGAAGGAATTGGAGGCATTTATATATATATTTTTAGTATATAATTTGATATATGATAAGTATATGCTATGGTAAAGATATAAGCTAAGGTATAGATACTATTTTCATCAGAATATTCAACTATGCTATTAGTTACATAGATAAACACTTTGGCAAAGATAATATAAAGAGTAAAAATGAAATAAAATAGAAATATTCTAGAAATGATAAAGATATAATATATGTAATATGTGCCGAAAGTGCAGTAACAGATTTGTAATACAAGGTTATTCTAGAATGGACAATATTACAAGGGCGAATGCTATTAAAATTGAACAAGGAATAATGAAGATCATTAAGCGAAAATCAAGTATAACAATACATAGATATATGTTTAGACAAGAATTTATATCTTTCAACTTATATGAATTAAATGCTAGTTTACCAAAGTAACTATCTAAACTATATTAGAAAAGAAATTTTTAAAACTAATACAGATCTAGATAGTAGCATGACAGATCATACTATTTATAGTAATGAATTAGATCCAGGAAAAATGATAAACTACATGTTAATACTTAATAAATAGCTTCTTACTTTACAATTTCAGCTCATGCAGCTGTAGGTTCAAAAGGGATTAAATGTTATTATATACTTTCTAGTAAATGCTCTGAAACTGTAATCTTTAGTTGGCACAAACTACCAAATCTAGGGGCTTCAAAGCCAAGTGGGATGTGACTCTAAAATCTCCTAGTAGACACTCCAAAGGATTTAATTGGCTTAAGCTGCCAAATCTAGGGGCAAGACTGTCAAGCAGAACACAACTTCAACATAATTAGTAAGCCATTTAAAAGCCATAATAGTGCCATACGTTAGTTTCTACATCACTGATCTCTTTAAAGTTGTTTACTTAATATTAATACGTGATAAATTATCATTGTTGTTATTATAATATCGGATGGTACGATTTTCGTGAAATATGATTGGATAAGAAATAATGTCAATCATTTGATAGGGGTAAACTGATTTTGATTTTTGGTGAGAAAATTTGTATCTATATGTATAAGCGAAAAAGATATCAAACCAAAGGCCTTTCTCTATGCACTTTTTATCAACAAGGTGTTCCAAGTCTTGAAAAATTCAACCAAGAGTTCCATCCTTCTGCAGCTTGACTCTTTTCAATCAAACTCTTAAAGTTGACTCATGTTAGCAGGTCTTGAGGTATAGGAAAAGTATTGTGTCGGTGTTGGTAGAGGTAACTTTCCATGTTGGAGAGAGAAAATATCAGTCTTAAATAAACTAACAGGCCTACTTTAGAAAAGAGTTTTTATTTTTGGTGGTGGTAAAGGTAGGGAAAAGTTTCTTTTAAAGAAAGTTATAACTTGACATGCCTCTATTCATGTCTCGTTAAATTTCTTAAAAAGAAAGTTTTTTCAAAAATTTAAGGGGAGCGGAAAAGAGTTTTATAAGTTTTGTATTTTTAAAGTTTCTTATATAATAATTTTTATAAGTACCATTATACATATGAATTGATAAAAATTTCATTGAATTTTCAATAGAAAATATTACAATATTAGAATTAATATTTCATTTTAATTTATAATTATTATAACTAATTAATACTATTCAAACAAGAATTAACAAAGTTATTAAATTTGATTATAAAATTTCTTCCAAATATTTCAACTTAATTATAATGAGCCAAGAAAAACTTAATATATTATTACTTAAATAATAACAAAAATTAAGTCTTATAAACAACCTTATAACAAAGCTGGCACTTTTATAACAAAAAAGTATATACAGAGAGACCTCCCTAAATGCACCCTCTATAAATGCACTTACTATATTTTCTCTCTCTAAATGCACGGTCA